TGTGTGTGTGTGTGTGTGTGTGTCTAATTAAACAGTAAATGAACTTACATATATTTGTAGTCTTAAAGTTATGACCTGTTCCTTCTCCCCAAAGCCCTCTGGCTGTGAAGTCGGAGAAGTTACTTACTACCTACTACCACACTGAGAATGACGACGAGAACCCCTTCATCTGCTCTCAGCGCCGGGACAATGGCATGAGGGACTGCAGCACGGTGCCTAAGCTCTATGAGGGAGGCCTGCAGTGCAACCTGGACATGGACTTCTACAACAGCACCGACAACACCTCTTGCGTCAACTGGAACCAGTACTACACCAACTGCTCTGCTGGTAACTGCAACCCTTTCAAGGGAGCCATCAACTTTGACAACATCTGCTACGCCTGGATTGCCATCTTTCAGGTAAGACAGCTCATCACGCCTCCAGAATAGTAGGATTTCCAAACAGCAGATGAAATGAACAATCTCTACAGTGAAGCACATACAGTATGGTTTAGTTGACGCAAGCCTGTTTTTCAAGATGGAGACAAATCGCCCCAGTGGCTGGTGCATCAGAGGAAAAGGGCTTACAGGATTAGCAAGTTTCCACAGCCACACCACCCGACCGCAGTTTCATTTTTCCACGCCATTTGTTTGCTATCTCCACATCATGTGAAAAGCCTTTTGTCGGAGTGTTCAGTCATTGCTGTCTAGCTGAAGGGGGTAATTTTGGAGGATGAAAGCCAGATTGGAGATGAGTTCTCCCAGTGAAGCGCATAGGAGGAATGTTGAGGATGAGTCTTCTGCTGAGTCTTGGCATTTGCAACACTGAACTGTGAACTGTGGTGTTTTTTAATCCGTCTTTTTAATTCTGTCCAGTTTTCTTCATTTCTCTTTAGTGTTGTCTGATAATTTATTATTACCCCTTATTTTCTCTGCACTGTGTTTCTCTTCAGGTGATCACTCTGGAGGGCTGGGTGGACATCATGTACTTTGTGATGGATGCTCACTCCTTCTACAACTTTATCTACTTCATCCTGCTCATCATTGTAAGTTTGGCTTTATGGTGCCACCAGCTGTGTGCTAGTGATTGAACAAGTGGGTCGGTGGGGAGACGGGTGTGAGAGCATCTGTTGTGAGAGAATAACAATGTCATCTACTCCTCCTTGTCTTTAGATTGGCTCATTCTTCATGATCAATCTGTGCCTGGTGGTCATTGCCACTCAGTTCTCCGAGACCAAGCAGCGGGAGAGCCAGCTGATGAAGGAGCAGCGGGTGCGCTTCCTGTCCAACGCCAGCACTCTGGCCTCCCTCTCCGAGCCAGGCTCCTGCTATGATGAGCTCCTCAAGTACCTGGTTCACATCATCCGCAAAGGGGCCAAACAAGTGGCCCATGTCTGCAGGCTCTTGGCTCGCCGTGCTGGGCTCAACATAGCCGCCTCGCCCCCAGCCACGGAGCCTCAACGTAGTCAGCGGAGGAGGAGAAAGTCCTCCAGGCAGGGATCTGTGTCTATTCATCACATGATGCACCATCATCACCACCACCACCACCACTACCACCTGAGAAATGGCAGTGTGAGGGGAGGAGGGAGCCTCCACTGTATGGAGGGTAGGGATGTGGAAGCTGGAGCTCATAATAACAACGGAGGGGCTCTTGTTGCAACAACTGGCAGCGGACATCTTGCTTTGGTGTCCCCATCTACTGTGACAGCAGCCACCTCTGATTCAAACCTAGCCACTTCGTCCAACCCTGCTGTAGGTGCTGCCGATTCAGCTTCAGTGCGCAGTGTATCCAACGTGGAAACTCTTGGCTGCACCCCATCGCCCGCACCAACTCCGAGCTCCTTCACCTTGGCCCCTGCTCCTGCATCAAGGGCCATGAAAAGGAACTCTGTGCCCTTCGCTGCACCAGGTCCTAAAAACTATCCCACCCTACAGGCCCGGGCCCTAGCAGAGTCTAGACGAGGAAGTGTTGCAGCCAGCACTCTGACAAACATCAGCTTCAACCTCAATATCCCACCCATGCCCCTGGGGAGACGGCCATCGACTCTGGTGGACACACAAAACCCCACAGGTAGACAACTCACCACAAACAAACAGGGATGAACTCCTGAAAAACACAGTCAAGCGAAAATGAAGACAAACCTTGAACGTGTTTAATTAGCTCCATTCTCTCCATTCCTTTTGAGGTGGCTGTGTTGGATAGGGTTTGCTTTGCTGAGCAACTTCCATTAAGAAAAAAACCTGGAAAGCATAATGGGGTTTGAAAATAGAAGAGTATCTCATTAACTCGGAGCTAGTGTTTAATTTCAATTTCAGAGTTGGAGTAAATCAAGTGACACACAACTGGAAATGTTCCATTTCCTGCAGTTGAGTTGTCTTGATTAAGCTTCAAACGACAACACAGTCCAGAGTTGTTGTTTTTTCCTTCGCGAGAGACAGAAAGTGTACTAATTCCATTCACTGAATATTAATCCCTCATGCCCAAGCTCGCAGCCAGCTTTATCTGCAAAAGTCAGGCTAGGTCTGTTTCAGGTTGTGCAGATGTTGAAAATAATGACTCCCTTCTTTGTCAAGTTTCAGCATCTGACCTCTGTCGCTCTGCTGCAGCCCAGCTCTCCTGCCAGCTGTCAGCTCGTGACCTCAGCACCATGGACACGGCCGCTTTGACATTGGACCCCGAGAGCTGCCCCTACTGCGCCAAGGCTCTGGCCCACGAATCGGAGGGCGGCATCGACACAGCAGGCGACTCGGACAGCGAGGGCGTATACGAGTTCACCCAGGACCTCCACCTCAGGGACAGGAGAGACAGCCGTCAGCCCAAAAAGAAGCAGTGCAGGCTGGGCAAAACGGCAGCAAAGGTCGTTCACTTCTGGAGGCTGGTGTGTGACACGTTCAGGAAGATCGTGGACAGCAAGTATTTCGGACGTGGGATTATGATCGCCATTCTGATCAATACTCTGAGTATGGGGATCGAGTACCATGAGCAGGTTAGTGTGTCTCATTATTAAAAGTGTGGGAGGTTGAACACAACTGTTGGATGATGCTTCACTATAGTAGCACACACAAATGATTACACAAAGTTTATAATGAGAATATACACTGATTAATAATGGATACTCAGAGGATGCATATGAAATTGTTGGAAGGTACCAGTTTTAGTCGTAGATCATCTGTGTACTTGTGTGTCATTCTGTGTAATTGTGATTGTGTAAGCTTCACTGCTCCCACAGGCCCAACTGGAATTCCTTTTGTCTCTCTCTGGTCTCTTTTGTTTACACAAGCATAATTGCAGCCAGGGAGAGAAAGAGAGAGTATGAGAGGAAAGAGGGGGAGACAGAGAGAGTGAGAGAGTTGCAGGGGTGATTCAAAGGGTGAGGAAGGCCCTGCAACATCTGACAGAGATTTTCCCAATTTCTTCCATTCACACTCGGCTGTTTTTTCCTCCAGGGATTTTTTCCCTTTGACCCCAGATGCACCTGATATTAACCTGCAGTCTATATCAGGATAGGCTCTCTGGATTAGCAGCAGAGCCACATTAACACAAGGTGTCAATGCATGGAGAACACATCTGGATAGGAACGCTATCAGATCAGCTGAACCACATCTGGAGGTCATCTGAACCTTATTGTGATCAGATCTCACCAGTGTGTGAATGCAACCTGTGCAGTCTCAATTACTAGTCCTAACCATCGGTGGAGTCACTGAACTCCCTGCTATCATAGGAAGATGTCTGACACATTTTTGTTCGCCAGCTTCTCCCATTGCACATGCTAATACAAGTGTAAATGCAGAGGCCAGATACAATATGTGCTTAGGTACAGATAGCATACAAGGTGTAAATAGGGTGTACCCATCCATCCATGATCTATGGCGCTTATCCCTTGAGGCAGCTGACATACTGCAAGAGGCCAGGTACACCCTGGACAGGTTGAGACAAAGACAAACAACCTTTCACACTTATATTTACACCTTTGGTGAAATAGTCTCCAATTAAACTCACCCCAATCTGCATGTATTTGGACTGTGGAAGGAAGCTGCAGTACCCAGAGAGCAGAACACCCACTCAAACAACATGTAAGCTCTATACGGAAAGCCAAATTGGCCTGTGCCATGCTAATTTGACTCCAACTGTAGTCAGTCAAACACATACATGGAAACATTATAACTTAAAGCTCATAATTTGAACTAAAAAAGTAAAATCTGACATTAGAAAATACCAGACATTGAGCACAGCGTTTCTTCAGGCATGAAGTCAAGCTCGGCCTCAATCAAGTATGTCAGTTGACATCAGCATATCTCTGTGCCAGCTCACATCAGCTGACGGCTCAGCTGATCCCCTCCTACACATTTAACAGGCAGAGCTCATATTGTATCCCTATTTAAGCTGCTTATACTCTTCCTGTTTCCACTGCAAGCCACTTCACTACCCTCCTCCACCCCAGCACCTCCTTTTCATACTGATCCTGACCTAATCAATGTCATGTGTCGACATTGATGTATGCTGTGTTCTGTGTTGGGGTGTTTTAGTTTCTGCTCTCCCTGCGTCACTTTCTGTTAAGGCTCAGGGAAGGGTAGGGAGGTGTGCTCTCCCTAACTTAGGCCCTCTGCAGCTGCATGTGAAAGGGCAGGGAGGTTCCCAAACAGAGCTCTACAGCCAATTATAACTTATTTATTCATTTAAAGCACTAAAAGTACAGAGTGGAGCCTATTCTCTAATGCCACAGTCTAATACATCACTATGGCTGAGTCTCGACCACCTTGGAATCTATTTCAGGTGTTTCTTCACCAGTGATGCTGCTGTACAAAGTACAGCTATTTGGTAAGACATGTTGTGGAGTAAAATAGAAAAGTACCTGACAGTAAATCTACTCATGTAAACTAGATACATGTGAAATTGTACTTACACAGTAAATTTACTTTGCTATAGCCACTGCCTACAGCTGCAGTCTCTTATTCTACCACTTAGATCAAAACCTTGGTGCATGGAAGTGATTTGTCATCATAAAATTTGCTGTGGCCAAAGAGCACACAGCACAGAAACTATATTTAATCAGTCACGTCCTGGCAGATCCAAGCCACTTGCACAGGTCAGTACCGGTGCAGAATGCAGCGCGACGAATCACATCGTATCAGTCACACTTCCAGGTTAACGAAGGTTAATTGTAGTATACAAGTGTATACGAGGAGACAGGGCCGCTGTAGGGATGCAGGTTCTTAATTTGCAGGAAACAGCTTTTGCTATCATCATTGCTGTGCAGCGAATGCATGTGCGTGGTAAATTCCTCGCAGTGTTCGTACGTTACACTTTGATTTGTGTACATACCAAACGTTCGTGTTGGCACAGTTCAGTGTGTTCGCATAAAACCACCTGCCAAATGCAAGATTATTGTTTGAGGTGCGCATTGTGTTGTATTTAGGGCACATGTGATTGTGTATAAAGTTATATAACGCAAGTTAAGTGAATGACAGCTGTATTTGTGTGTTTGTGTTTGTGTGTGTGTAGGTGTGTAGTAGGAGATTGAAACCTGGCTCGATTTTCCAGGGTTATTTTTGATCCGTGACCTGTTGCCTAAAATCATATCCAGATGCCAAATATCCTCAGTGCACACAAACACCTTCTTTGTATTGCTGTGCCTTTTCCCCTTTTCCTTTCCTTGTCTTCATGCTCCCACTCTTACCCTTGTCCTTCCTCTCTTCTTTCTCCCCTTTTTACTTCATTCTTTCTTTCACTTTCTTTCTCCCTGTACCCTTCCTCCTCCTCCCCATATCTCCCTTCTGTCTTCTCCCTCTAGTGTTTTCGACTAGTTTTGGGTAACATTGATCCCTCAAATCTCCACACAGGCTGCTAAAAAGTCTAACTGAGATGCTCGATTGATTGCAAGCCCATCGACATCCAATAGAGAGGAGGAACACCACTGAACACCAAGCCTCTGAATGTCTCTGAGGCTTGGTGATAGTGCATCACGGAACTCTATCCACACGGATGAGAGGCTGGGTTTCAATTTCCATACGTCCTCCAGTAAAGTTTTCTATTGGAATGTTTTGCACACAGTGTATATACACCATGTGCAGCTGCCACTGCCACAGAGTGCTTTGTAGTTTCACCTGCTGTGGTCAGCATTACACAGCTTGAAAACGGATTACTGTCATACTTACTGCATCACATTTGTAATGCTCAAACCAACAGTGGGGTCAGCCTGATATGCTAATATAGTCACCAAAACAGGTTTTTTAAATGAGCACATACTTAATTCATTTTAGATGCATTACTTTCATGCAACTGGCCCTTCAGCACAGCAGTGTACTGTAACTCTTAAGTACTGAGGGAACGTAGCCTTCCCTGCAAGTTAGCTAAAGGTTTGATGGGGTGGTTGGCTCATTTGGTGGATGTGGCTCAGGGTCGTGGACTAACCAGAGGGTCGATGGTTTGATCCCCGACTCCTCTAGTCTGCATTCCGAAGTGTCCTTGGGCAAGATACTGAACCTCAAATTGCCTATGACGGCTTTGTCGACAGTGTAAGAATGAAAAACGTTTGATAGAAAAAGGGCAGCCTATTGTAGAGCTGTATGAATGTTTGCGTGAATGAGTGATTGCAACTTGTCCCTTTAAGCGCTTTGAATGGGTGATAAGACTGGAGTAGCGTGACACAAATACTGACCATTTCTACTTTAAATTGGATGTGATATCTGTGGGGTTTTCCAGCTTGTGTCATTGAACAGCTCTGATTAAGCTTCTATGTGATCCAAAGCTATGAGGAGTTTTGGTTTGGAGCAAAAGGGGATTAACCAAAAGTGACGCTGAGTGCTTCAAAGTGATGGTTTGCCCTCAGCAAGCACTCGTTCGTTCGACAATGGATGTAAAAGTCTCGTCTGCATATAATAATTCAAATGAACACTGTCAAAATATTGTGCTTTAGGTTTCAAGACAAGTAGAATAATGGTGATGTTATTGTATATCTATTTAGTAAAATCCAACACCTCCTTCTTATTTTTATCACTCTTTGTTCCCAAAACAAATCTGACTACCAAAGGAGTCCCACATCTCCTTTATAAAGTACTCATGCAGCAAGTTAGGCCTTAAAAGTTAACTTATTAAGAACACACTCCCTGTAGCTGCCTCAGAATAAAAGCTTTCCAGACGTTTATGTGTTTTATAGCAGCCTAAACCTCTTTCAAGTTTTTCTCATGGCTGCACAAATCAAATTTAACTCACTGATTCTAATTCTAAACTAAACCAAAGGGGACTAAATCACCAGTGGGAATGTGCTGAGATCTACTGACAGGTCAATGCTGGAGGACTTTTACTGGGAATCAGCTGCACAAAGAGGATTTAAGAACATTACAGGTGCAAACACTGCTAAGTGAGACTCATGTCCAGTACATTATGTCCTTAATAGACTTAATGTTAGTGCCCTTTACCCATGTACTGTGATGAGAACATATCTCCACCTTTCCAAAATCCAATGATTCATCTGCTCGACTCTCACCTGTCATCAAGAGTGTCTGTATTAAGCACGTAATGTCTTTGAATAGGTCAGATCATTTGTTCTTCATCCCTCCCTTGGCATCATGCTAGTAAAATCAGTCATCCAATTCACTGCTGTTGCCATAATCTTTAATCCGTACATCTCTTATCATGATAGATAGAGATAAAACTTTCCATGTATCATCCACTACATCTGAGTCAGAGTGTGTGTTTGGGGAAAACTGTCCCTTCAGCTGACAGCTGATTGATAATCTTGACCTTCTCTTCAGTGCCCTATCCTGCGTCCATTAAAGAAAGATAAACATAGAGGTAGAGCGCGCGCACACACACACACACACACAGAACAGAACAGAACAGAACTATTATGCATCATTCAGCTGCAAATGTGTTTGTGGAGCTCTTGCTGTGTCTAAAGAGAATAATAGAATAACCCAGAGGAGTAGATGATAGAGAGGGACACATGTTGATATGGACTAACACACCTACAAAGAGATTCAAACT